TATTAAACCTGAGTATTTCACATACATGAAATGTTGTCCCATGTCACATATTGTCCCTTTTCTAACTGAACACCTCATGTAGAGATGTAAAGGTGTGTTAATCTATGGCTCATACCAGATTGTTTGCCATAAATTCCAAAGGGCTATTGATGTATGAAAAGCATTTTCTATAAAGTAAAATGTCTTCCTATGTATGCAGATAAACCTTGAAATTTGGCAAAACAACAAAGTATTTTTCATGATCACTAGGTAATTTTTCTGATGATCATTATAATTTCTAAACTAAATTATTTCAGATTTACATTTAAACGAGCTTTGATCATATGAAAAGATATTTATCATAACCAGTAAGCATGACACATGAACCAATTTTAACATTCATGTAATTATATAATTAAAGACATGTTGGTTACATTCTGTTTGTATTTGATAATACAATGCTACTAGTGATTGCTATATAGCACACCTTGAAGAAGATAATAGTCAAGTGAAATGCCTAATAAACATTTATGGCATTAAGCTGTCCTTAACTGCAAATTTTCACTCTGATAATTTTTGCTTAATCTTTGGCAGAAAAATTTTGAGTTTTTCTCAAAAGGTGACTTTGCTAATACTGATGTGAGATGGGTAAAGGGTTACAATAAACTTGCATGGTTTGAAGTCTGAGCTTTCTATATCTATGAACTGTCACTTGTAGTACCAAATTTCAACTGAACTCATTACATAGAGGTTTGAATGGGGGTTCTAGGGGGTCTATGGCTGACAACTTGGTAGAAATTTTTAAAGGCTATATCTGTTTTTGATATAGCATTATTGTAAAATAAATTTTACGTTCCTAGACATGCTAATGAGCCATATATTTGGCATAATAATGAGCCTAAATATTTGGCAAAACATTCAAGTATTGTTCACTTCATTTTTTTGAAAAACGTAACCAAATGTGTTTTACATAAAACGATGCCCACAAAAATACATTTTGTATGCTCTAAAACGCTGAAAATGGCATTTTAAAGGCTCTGAAATTCAAAATTTCTCAGGAGAGATACCCTCAGACCCCCCCAGGTGCGGAGCGCCTCCGACGTTTTATGACTGATGTTTGAAAAATCCTAGATCCGCCCCTGGGTAAGGTTGTTTTCCTTTGATGCAAGAAATAGTATGTGTCAAAACACCAATGAATGTAAGGTAGTGTGTGTAGAGGGACTATGTCAACAGAGGGTTCTGTCTTGTTAAATTTTGATGGGTGGATTTCTTGCAATGGCAATTGCACCTGGTTTTTTAATTAAATTCTTTAATATATGCCATGATTGACTGGATGCATTTGGAAGTCTACTGAATATGAAAAATCACTTGCTTTTGTTTCGAACATTACTTCTGTCTGTGGTAAACTTAAAATATTATGCAGTGCAACCATTGGTTCTCTCACCCACTAAAAACAGGCAAAATGCACACTCCTTTAAACCACTGCTTAAATCTCACCACAAGATGTTAGTTCAAATAAGTAATTTTAAAAGTCTATAATATTTATTTCTCATGCTTGTGTGCTCACTTAAGGCAAATTTATGTATATGTGTTTTATAATTTCTGACTCATGTAGAACAAGTATTGCCTGCAATGGACATGAATGGCTAGCATGACAAATTGCTTAAGGAAGTACAACTAAGCTTCATCTTATCTTACAGGCTTGACAAATTTAATTTTCATTGCTTTTATATAACTGCTAATGTATTCATGTAATACTCCATGAATACAGTCGACAAGGATAAAGCATAAAAATAACATGTATATGTTAATATTGATCCCTTCCTCCCTAATTCTGTTATATTCAAGCCACTCAAAACCCTCAATTGAATCATTTTTCATTTTGTGTAATTCTGTAGTTTTCAAGAATCTTAAAAATTTTCATCATAACGAAAGCGTTGTTTCCATAGACCAACATGATGTTTAAGTAATTCTATTTCTTTAATGCATGAAGAAGCATTCACTAAAACAGCAAATGGATGTATGATGATTATGTAGAATGGCTTTGTGCGAAGGGGTGTGCTATATAGTATGTTAAACACCAATGAATGTAAGATAGTGCTTGTAGAGGGACTATGTCAATAGAGTATATATCTTTTTGATAATTTCTGACTCATGTAGAACAAGTATTGCCTGCAATGGACATGAATGGCTAACATGACAAAATTGCTTTAAGAAAGGACAACTTTAGCTTCATCTTATTTTACAGGTTTGTGACAAATTTAATTTTCATTGCTTTTATATAACTGCTAATGTATTCATGTAATACCTATGAATACAGTCGACAAGGGATAAAGCATGTAAAATAATTACGTATATGTCAATATTGATCCTCCTCCCAAATTGTTTATATTCATGTTTACTCTCAAAAACCCAAATTGAACTTCTTCGTTTTGTGTAATTTGTAGTTTTCAAGAACTTAAAAAAAATATTTATCATAAACGGAAAGCGTTGTTTGGCCATAGACCAACATGATGTTTTAGGTAAGGGGTTTGCATTTCTTAATGCATGAAGAAGTATGCACTAAAACAGCAATGGATGTATGATGATTATGTAGAATGGCTTTGTGGAAGGGGTGTGCTGTATTTTGAAATAAATTTTATTGGTGATTTTAGTGTGTTGCCCCAAATGGTTATTTTGTTTCTGAGGCAATTACTACAAATTAGCTAGTTGTAACATGAGAATTTATTGTTGAATTTTACCTTGTGCTGATTTTAAAGATGCTATGCAATACTATATCCAAACTTTAGCTTGAATTCATCAACTGCTTATTTTAGTCTCATAAACGTCACTTATTTTGCAAAACTTTCACCAACCTTCATACTTGGCCTTGGGGTGTGATTCATCAAGCATCTTTTATGAACTGGGATAGAATAGAACGAAAATCCTTAAAATGCATTATGTTAATTCAAATTGAGCGAGATAGTAATTTCAGTTTTATCTTAGGACAACTTTATTGTTGTTTTTACAGAAACAGCTTTCAAAAAGACACCGCGAGAGAGCTTGGCTAATATATCTGGCATGCCCTGGACTTCTCAATTATAAAGTAAACCATGATAGAAGGCGGAGATTGAAAGTCAAGTTCGTAAAATAAATGTTCTAAAAACACGAATTCAACCCATTGGTATGAAGGTATTTCATTAAATTGTTTTTACCATTTGATCATCGCCATGCATGTGCATACTATGTTAATAATGCATGGGCTGCCAATGAGATTTTTAATAAACAAACGTGAGAAATAGACTTATGTGTTTGACAATTGTTGGGAAATAATTAAACTATAGATTTGCCAGAGGGAGAACGAAGTTTTAATAAAAATGTTAGCGTAATGTAAACATAAAACTTTCCGTTTTATGAAAAAAGAAGAAAAAAAAACGAAGAAAAGAATGTTGAATAGAAAATCAATTTTGTCTAATAAACTTTGTAAACCTCACGAACAAAAGAACAAACATTCATGATCTGTGCTTGTTTTACTCTGTTGCAAACAGGCTCGCTAGAATATATTTTAGCTTTGAATTGTTTTGTAGCATTATCACTCATAGATTATCATTTTCAACAGCATCAAGTAGCTAATTGCTTTAAAAAATATTTTTTAATATACAACAGCAGTTTGTAAAGCAATTGAGCTTTTTTATAAAACATCATATTTGACACTGAAACACTCCTAAAATTTGACTGGCAACCAGATGCTTTTCTTTTCCAGCAGAGTTATTTGGAAAATTCAAAATTGATGAAGTCAAGGTTTGCAAATATCACACGTACATGATCTATAGGACTAAAGAAATGCTATTGGCTAGCTTTTTAGTCAATAAAAATGTGATTATTCTCGAATAAAAAGCAATGGTTGATCAATTTTTAAAATTTTGTTGTAGATGACGAAGTATAAATCAACGTTTGCAAACCTTTATCTTCTTTTGCTAAAATACGCTTACTGCCTCCCCTCATGTTAAATGCAAAACACGTTTTCTTTCAATGTTGTTGCTCTTTAGGGATAAACTATTCCTGAATCGAGGAAATTCTAATTGTCGAATAATTTCAAATACAAGCAGTTTTGCGACAGCCTCTACGTACAAAACCAACTATTCTAAAGTGGCTATAACTTATGATTGACTTCTTTGCTTGCAGAATGGCTGCCAAACCAGATACAAGATTATTGAGCGAGTTATAGTGGATGCTGAAACACTTTGTAAAATGAAACAAACTAAGAAGACAGTACCATTTTAATTCGTTATATGAGAGGAGACAACAATACCGTTTCGAACTATCACTACTATTTCGTCACCACAAAGTTGATCTCAAAGAAAAGGAAATGTTATAAAGAAAACTGTTGGCCAAATTGTTAACTTCAACCGCTAAGAATTTTGGCGATGTAGACGTATGATTCTAAGGCTCGTGATGGTAAGTCAAATAATAATTCATATTTCAAAACAGTGATCGTTTATATCCTGTGATTGGCTTCAAACCTTCCTTCGGTTGAAGATAATGTCTGTTGCATGTAGTTTAGAATACGTCGTTACGCTGCATACAAACGCTCCCAACACGTACACTCAAAATGCGCTCAACATTGTTTTGCGTTTGTTGAATGATGTTTAAACGATACGCAATCGCTGAAAGCATGCTCATCCTTAAATGATAACACGTAGGATCATGGGATACAATGTTGAAGCCTAGCAACTGCATGTATATATATATACACCTACATATACGGTTCAGTGACCAGGTAAATTACTACAATATACGCTGTAAAGAGCGCATACTTATATCGACATTGCTGGAGTGTTCTGTTCAAACGCTCTAAACAGTGTTAAGATACGGTTTGGTGACCACAAGTGAGAACTAAATAGTTGAACGACTATTTTAATGGTTGCACTATTGCAATTTGGTCATAACAACCATATGAAAAATTGGTCATTTAGAAATTGCCAATTACGATGGTCAATACAACCATATGCAAACTGGTCACTTAGAAATGACAAATAAAGATGGTTCAAACAAACATTTTAACGGTTGTAACCAATATGCAATTTCGTCATAACCATCGTGTTGAAAATTGGTCAATTAGTAATGACTAAATAAGATTTTAATGAGCAATAAACAATAGGTCACCTTTCTTTTTTGTTTATATTTGTTTTTAGTAAATGTGTTATAGTTTTGACCACGGACATACAATCAAAAGAAATAATCAAAATAGATAATAAAAAATAAATAAATAAAAAATAGAAAAATCAAGTTGAATGCCACAGGATCATTTAAATGCCATTTAGAATGAAAATTTCCATTAGTTGCTCCTATTCTTGACCACGGTACATAGAATCGAAATAAACAAAATAGATAATAAAAATAAATAAATAAATAAATAGAAGAAAGTTGAATGCCATAGATCTTTTATATTAGAATGAAAAATATTAGCTCTTATTCTTTACAATATGACTTTAGCAATTAAAGCATGTTATTTCCAGAACAGAAACAAATTGATTCCAAGTTAGTGAAATGACACTTCCTGTGACTTCAGTAGCTACGCAATACGCATTGCTGGCAAAAACGGGCGACTAACCTCGATATAAATTGTTATTTGCATTATGCTAAAAGTAGAGTTGGCTTAATAATACGATTTGTGAGACTTCTTTGAATTATCTACATTAACGGCGTTGATTCAGGGAATACTATTGGATTATGTATTTCAATGGTTGGTAATGACAGTTGAATGACAGTTAAAGAGTAGTTACTTTGTAGATCATTTTCATACCTGCTCTTACATATTCTCAATAATATTCATGATTGAGACTTACTCCATAATCGCCTGAGCATTGATCAAACAAAGAAAAGCACTGAAAACATTCTGCAAACCAACATAACTTCACCTTAAGTCCTCCATCACACATACTCAAAATAGTACGACATTTTTCATCTGCGTAAGCACAGTTCTCTACTTAAAAACGGGTCATATTTATTATTTTGCTGTAAAGATGCGCTAAAATTGAGATAATGTTCTCTAATGATTCAGTCATATATTTTTTCTGTTATTGAATGCCTCTACAAATATGTACACTGCATTTGCTGTCCGTGTTTTTAGGTCACATTTGTTGAATCCTCTGATCTATAAAATGTTGATAGAAAAATACCGCACGGTATTACTACTGAAATAGCTGCTCAAAATTTGATAAAATTCAAGTAATTATCATTCCACTTTGTTTTCGAGTTTTTGCCCGAAATTTTATGCATTTAAATAGCTAAAACTGTATTACAATTGTCGAACAAAGTTAAGCAGGAACAGGTTGAAAACCATTAACACTCAGAGATAAACACATGCAAGCCGAGATCTGTGTAAATATTTTTTATATAAAAAAACGTTGTGATGGTAGTCATTGTTACAGGCATCTAATGTAAGATGTTTTAATTTTTAATCATGTGTACAAGGATAAATATTATCGTGTGATACCCAACAAACAACTGATATTCTTTGGAGATTCAAAAGGCAAAATATGAACAAATTCTGTGTTGCGAACTTATACAGCCTTTATAATTTACTTTGACAAATTAAAACATGTTCTTTCAGAAAATAACTGGCCATATAACTGATTAAATTTCTATAAGATCATATCGTTACAATGCCATTTAAAAATATTTTCAAGTTCGATAATATCGTTCTCCACAAACGCTTGAAATTATTATTATTACACTACTGTGTTCAATTGCACTTGTTATTTGATTTATTAAAATTTATGTTTAATAATCATTTTCTAAGTTGTACATGCATAAATATCTCAATAGTGTCCATGTATGCATGTCGTACAACGGACTCCAAATAGACTTTATTATTCTAAAATATTTGAACTTCAGTTCCTGCAAAAGTTATATCTCAGTCTGTCAGCAGCTGGCATGATGACTTCAACAATCGTTTGACTTCGCAAAAATGAGATCAATATGTTATCGGCAATTCATTATATCTTGACATGGTCAACCAATTTAGTCCAATAAAGTTTGTCTAAAGAGATCATATTACACATCCAACGCAAACTTGATTAGTTTCGGACTGTTTCGTTTTAAGAACGCCCTCATTAAACACAGCTGTGAATGATGAGGTGCAGTATTCAATATTTACGGAAAACACAGTTTATCATCACATTTGAACAGGGAATAAGAAGAAAGTAGGGCACTCCAAAGTTGGCCAGACAAATCATTAATAATGAAAGATATTGTAGTGTTCGTTGTGGCAATATGTGCTCTTGGCATTGCTGGAAATACTCGTGATCGCTTCAATTTTAAAACAAAGATTCTGTTAAAGAAGAACTACTACTTTCTTGTCTTGCATCTTGCAATATGTGACGCATTTGTACTATTGAGTATATTTCTCTTTGAGATCTTTGAGCACCATTTGAAAAGCAATCCAATTTTGTTAAACTGCTCATATATAAGTGGCATAGATACTTTTTTTCAAATAAGTGGAGTATCTATGATGTTGATCATTTCAGTTCTACGTTATCGTGCGATAGTTCATCCATTGAAACCTTCCTTCAGTCGACAAAAGATAAAAATCGTTTGTGGTTTAGCGTACATCATTGGTTTGATTACGACAGTTGGAATGACATTTCAAGAGTGCATTGTGGATCCTCAAGCTCGTTATTTTATTTATGAATTGTTTGCGTTTTATTCATGTTTCTACATTTTCCCAATAATCTTCATGACTATGACTTATTCCATAATCGCTCAAGCATTGATTAAACAAAAAAAAGCACTACGAACACTCTCCAATCCGACACATTCTCATCTATAATCCTCCACCAGCTCAAGTCTTCAAAGATATTCTCGGCATAGTAAGACATTCATTGTTTGTGTCAGCACAGTTCTCTGCTTCACAGTGGGTCACGCTTGTTTTTTGGTTGTAGACGTGCTCTATATAAACAACACTGTTCCATCAAATTCATCCACTAATCTTTACGTTGTTTATGTTCTCGTCTTTGGCTCACACGTTAAACCTCTGATCTATGGAATATTGATAGAAAATGTTGTTTTTGGGAAATGCTGCCCAAAAATAAGACCAATCTAAGTTGTTTTCATCATCAAAAAGTAGAGATTTTAATATAGGGCTCTTTATGTATTTCGAACATTATAAATTAGCTAGAATATAATTTAGTTCTGAATTGCTTTGTGAGCATTTATATGATTCTAAGAGATGCATTCATGTTCATTCACACCATAATTTCATAGTATTGTAAACAGGTCATATTGTTTTCCATCTCTTTATTTACTTTACAAATAAACAAATAAATGTGTTCCACATCATGATCTCAAAATTAATTTTGCAGAGTTCTGTCAACAAATTATTTATGCAAAATATAGGCAATAACGGATGTCATACTATAACGTCTGTATATTTCAGTATTAGATACGAAATTCTCTTTCAAAATGTACCAGTTTTGGGTACTTCGAAAATCTTTTGTAACCGGGCGTAACTGTTAAATAGTTTTGTCATTACTGTTTGGATGAATCGCGTAGCATATCTTTTATTTTAGAACGCTGTAAATATCTTATGTTTTAAAATGTTTACTTTTCTCGGTTTAAGAATGAGAATTTTTTAATTTTATTTGATATGATTTGTGCACGCTAGTTTTCAAAAAGCAAAAATTGAATTTAAAACATTTTATAGAAAGGTGGTCTGGTTTTAAGGAAAGATTGGAAAGGCTCTAGGTGATCAAAATAAACTCTCGTGATAAATGGATAAATATAGCAAATATGATCAGGAAGACAGGAAAACAAATATCGTTGTAGTAAGAACATTTTTGAATGAATAGCAAAGGAAACGTCAATCCTATTCGTCACACAATGCAATTTACTCGCTGGAAATAGTGCACTACGTAAGTGTAATAAGATATGTGGCAAGAAAGATTCAATAGAGGCTCCTACTGTATGTTCTCTATACTATAGCTTTGGTTGCATTGGTTTTACTTTCAGAAACTAGCACGGTAAATCCATCACTTGCTTATTGTGTTAGAATTTCGTGGTCGCCCGGAATCAGTATATTAATATGGAATATTTGATAGACAAGTCCTGCACTTGGAAAGTGTTGAACAAAATAGAAATTTAAGCCAATTCAGATGACAGACGTTTGATATCCAATCACCACATTTTCATTTTTCTAATAGTTTAGATGTTGAAACAACGTACCTTTTAATGCCTTTTAAACAAATATCCTTTTATGAATTTAATTACAGAGCCAAAAAGACACTTAATATCTGCTTGAATGATGTTGAAACTGAAACTGATTTATGATGAGTCACGAAATACAAATTTTCAAGTAATCTACTTGCACACTAGATCTTGAATAACACAATGTTTCCAAGAAATAATGAGAATTGTCTATAGATTATATTTCAACTTTACATCCACGTAGGAATTCGACAATCAACTAGTGTTCTTTGAACTATCAAGAGAAATATTGAAAGGAAAAATGTTGTATTTTCTTTATATTCAATTTGAAACTAACTTGTTCATTTAGAAATTACCTATAGCAATAGGAGCTAATTATACTTTTAATGACAAAGCAACAATGCCATCTTTTTTCATGATAAATGCATGCATGAATTTATATTTCACATTTTACAGTTGAGTTGCAACGTTTGACGTATCTGCACGCAAATAACATTGTGAAATCGTTTAAAACAAAATATTGCATGTTGTAAGAATACAAATATAGGGCTAAATAATTGACACATGATTCCAAGATATGAGGCAAGAATATACTTTTGTTTGTATTGGCACATTTTCTGTTTTATTGAATCATGTTTATTTTGTGGTTTCAGACGTGCTATATATGAACAACACTCTTTTCATCAATTCTTCCACAAACATTTTGCTATCAAAACACATAGAAACAATATGGGTTTTACGAGGGAATTTCATATGACCCCTTTTGTGATTTGCATGATATATGCTTCGCATGCGGTTCCAAACAGCTTTATTTACTGTAATAATAATTAATTTAAAGTAAGGCCTATAAGTCGTATTTACATGCGCCGAAAGATAAAGACAAAAACAAAATTTCAAAATTCTCATTATC